ATATTCATTGAGAGTAATATGCCAAATTAAACGAGATTCTTCAAGTTTAGTGGAACGCCATATCCTTTCAAGTTGTCTCGACTTTTGCTTTATTTTGCGGGTTTCGGCATTATGCCATGGAGCTAATCTATGTTGTTTTATTTTCTTCTTTTTCAAAGGAGCAACAGAGTCTAATTTTATTCGCAGCGCATCTGTAGCACTATCAACAACATGATCAATTTGGGGTGGTGTACATTTTGTATAAGTTTCCTCCCTTACATGCAGACATGCTATCGAGTTAAGTATTGACTATTGAGTGACTCAGTCATCCTTTAGCTCAAAAAGCATTTAAATACCGCATTTAGAAACTGATGAACTCAGTGTGCATCTGGACCCGGTGACAACATTACCTATTGACGCAGCAACCACTGTAAGTTATATTCTTGTTTAATTAGACTTCTCGGTTTCATTTATTCGACTCTGTATAATTGTTACTGTAGCTTAAAACGGCTAAATCGCTTTTGAGAGATTTTTAAATCTCAGATCTGCTCAGGCGAAACCTGCTTTACAGGTCTCAGCACTCAAGCCTGCATTATTAACATAGGCAGGGCCAGTCTATTGATTGCGTGAAGTAGAACCGCGTGACTCAGTCATCCTTTAGCTCAAAAAGCATTTAAATACCGCATTTAGAGAAACTGATGAACTCAGTGTGCATCTGGACCCGGTGACAACATTACCTATTGACGCAGCAACCACTGTAAGTTATATTCTTGTTTAATTAGACTTCTCGGTTTCATTTATTCGACTCTGTATAATTGTTACTGTAGCTTAAACGGCTAAATCGCTTTTGAGAGATTTTAAATCTCAGATCTGCTCAGGCGAAACCTGCTTTACAGCTCTCAGCACTCAAGCCTGCATTATTAACATAGGCAGGGCCAGTCTATCAGCTGTAGATAGTTAACTAATTAACTTCAGCTGTGAGAACTGGGCAATCAGGCGTCCATTTCGGGTAGCTCTTTCCTGGAGCGTCAGCTTCAGACAGGCTAAGACTGACAAAGACATTAGAGTCCTACAGGAGTAAGACTGACAAAGACATTAGAGTCCTACAGGAGTCACGAGGGAGGCAAAGAGGAGGCAAATCCTACTTTGATTGAGCTAAGTATCGTTGGTGTTTTTAATTTTAATTTGTTGTTTAGCCCCTCATGCTATAATCATGTGTATTTTCTCCATTCCTGTTCATGTGTCTTCTCGCAATTATCCACTGGCCCCGTGTATCTCGTAATCGATATAACCGGCCTGCTCTCGTCTATCCCACGTGCTCCACTGAGATCCAACATCTAGTTCAGGTGGCCTGTGGAACTGCCAGTCAGCTGTTCCTAAGGCTGACTTCATCTCTGGCTACACCTCCCTGCAGTCTCTGGATTTCCTTGCTCTCACTGAGACCTGGATTACTCCATCCAACACATCCACCCCAGCAGCTCTCTCCACTGCATATTCCTTCTCCCATACACCCAGACCCACTGGCAGAGGAGGTGGCACTGGTCTCTTGCTCTCTCCCAAATGGAGCTTTTCCCTCTTCAAGCTACCTAACTTTACTCCTTCCACCTTTGAGTTCCATGCCGTCACAGTAACCCATCCTATACAGTTAACCATTGTTGTTCTCTACCGTCCACCAGGCGCCTTGGGGGACTTCTTGGAGGAATTAGATCATCTCCTCTCACACATCCCTGAAACTGGCCCTCCCGCTGTACTTCTCGGAGACTTCAACCTCCAGATGGGGAAGATAGACGAACTAACATCTCTGTTAACCGCCTTTGCTTTCTCACTCTCTCCGTCCCCACCGACTCATAAAGCTGGCAATGTCCTTGATCTCATATTCTCAAGGAACTGCGCTACTTCTAACCTCTCTGTAAACCCGCTCCACACATCCGATCACTTCTTCATTTCATTCTCTCTATCCCTTTCCAACATAACAAACTAATCTCTTCCCATCCTACACTTGTCCGCCGTAACCTTCGCTCCCTCTCTCCCTCTACCTTTGCCTCGTCTGTGCTCTCAGCCCCTCCCTTCCTCTGATTCGTTCCAACTACTGCCTCCAAACTCTGCTGCAGAAACTCTCCTCTCTACTCTCTCATCCACCTCTGGACTCGCTCTGTCCTCTGACATCTCGGCAGGCTCGTCAGTCCCCTCCGGCTCCCTGGCTAAATGATGCACTGCGTGCTAATAGAACCGTCCTTAGGGCAGCAGAGCGGAAAATGGTGGAAATCCAAACACCGTGACGACCTCCTAACCTATCAAGCTCTCCTCTCCTCTTTCTCTGCTTCGATCTCTCAGGCAAAAAGCACTTTCTTTCAAGATAAGATCCAATCTTCCTATTCCAATCCTAAAAAACTATTTTCCATCTTCTCCACCCTCTTGGACCCTCCAAAAGCTCCTCCCCCCTCCTCACTTCTGTCAAGCGACTTTGTTACCCACTTTGAAAAAAAGGTTAATGATATTCGCTCTTCTTTTTCTGACTCACCTTTACTCACCGCTGGGTCACCAGACCTTCCTTCCACCAACACACTAACCTCCTTTTCCCCTCTCTCTCCAAGTGAGGTTCTTACCCTCATTACCTCTGCCCGCCCCTACCACCTGTCCTCTGGACCCTATCCCTTCAAACCTCCTTCAGACTATCGCTCCTGATATTCTACCGTTTCTCACCCATTCATCAACACTTCTCTAACTTCTGGTCACTTTCCAAACAGTCTCAAGGAGGCAAGAGTAAAACCCTCTCCTAAAGAAACCCACTCTCAACCCGTCTGATGTTATAAACTACAGGCCTGTCTCTCTCCTCCCGTTCCTGTCTAAATCACTTGAACGCGCTGTCTTTAAACAACTCTCCTGTTATCTCAATCAGAACAACCTTCTGGATCCGCACCAGTCAGGTTTCAAGGCAGGTCACTCCACAGAAACTGCTCTCATTGCTGTCACGGAGGAACTGCACACTGCCAAAACTGCATCCCTCTCCTCTGTCATCATCCTGTTGGACCTGTCTGCTGCATTCGACACGGTGAATCATCAGATCCTCCTTCGCACTCTCCAAAAACTTGGAGTTTCAGGCTCTGCACTTTCCCTCCTCACCTCATACCTGAAAGACCGTACCTACAGGGTGACTTGGAGAGGGTCTGAGTCCGACCCTTGTCAATTAACTACGGGGGTCCCTCAGGGCTCTGTTCTTGGTCCCCTCCTCTTCTCCCTTGTACACAAACTCGCTCGGATCAGTCATTAGCCCGCATGGTTTTTCTTACCACTGCTACGCTGACGACACCCAATTAATTCTGTCCTTTCCCCGCTCAGAGACCCAGGTCGTCGCACGCATCTCTGCTTGTCTAGCTGACATCTCTCAGTGGATGTCTGCTCACCACCTCAAGCTCAACCTTGACAAGACTGAGCTGCTCTTCCTCCCGGGAAAAGATTGTCCAACCCTTGACCTGACAATCAACATCGGCACCTCAGTTGTTTCCCCGACTCAGACTGCAAGGAATCTGGGTGTGACCCTAGATAACAACCTGTCCTTCACTGCAAACATCGCTGCTACAACCCGCTGCTGCAGATACACGCTTTACAACATCAGGAAGATACGTCCCCAGCTGACTCAGAAAGCGACTCAGGTTCTGGTCCAGGCTCTCGTCATCTCACGCCTAGACTACTGCAACTCCCTCCTGGCTGGTCTACCTGCATGTGCCATCCGACCTCTGCAGCTCATCCAGAATGCAGCGGCTCGTCTGGTTTTCAACCTTCCTAAATTCTCCCACACCACTCCGCTCCTCCGCTCCCTTCACTGGCTTCCGGTAACTGCTAGAATCCACTTCAAGACACTGGTACTTGCTTACCGTGCTGCGAATGGATCTGGCCCTTCCTACATCCAGGACATGGTTAAACCGTACAACCCCAGCGCGTGCACTACGCTCTGCATCAGCCAAACGACTCGTTGCGCCCCTCGCTGCGAGGGGGACCCAAGTTCCCATCGGCGAAAACACGTGGGTTTGCTATCCTGGCTCCAAGATGGGTGGAATGAGCTCCCCATTGACATCAGGACGGCAGATAGCTTGCACATCTTCCGGCGCAAACTGAAAACTCATCTCTTTCGACTCCACTTCGAGCGTTAGAACGATTAACGAAGCACTTTTATACTAATAAAGGACTGGATTACCTAAAGCCAGTTGAGTAGCACTTGAAATGTTTGGCTCTATGAAACCTGATATACTTATATGATTCTGTTTTCTTCAAGGTTGTGTCTTCCTGGTCGAATGTACTTATTGTAAGTCGCTTTGGACAAAAGCGTCAGCTAAATGCAATGTAATGTATTGGTGGAATCTCTTCCTTAAATTTGGCTATAGCACTAACAGATAGGTTTCTGCTGCAGGAGCTTTTGACTAATGCTTTGTAGTCTCGTAACAGTACTTCAAAAGTTACTAAGAAATGGTCGGATAAAGCAGGATTATGCGGTTCGACTAATAGTTGCTCAATTTCAATACCATAAGTCAGAACAAGGTCGAGAGTGTGATTATAGCAGTGGGTTGGTTTATTTACACTCTGACAAAAACCAACAGAATCTAATATAGAGTTAAATGCAACAGTAAGGCTATTTTTATCATCGTCAACATGAACAAGATGTTGTTTTAAGTGATACAAGTTTGTCATGTGTAGTCCAATAAACCTCATTAGGAGTCTGACACTTTGAAATAATATTGGACACTCATCCTTGAAAGTTCTCATAGCCTTTAAGTCATCAAACTTTCAAATGTTAAGTGAAGAACATTCTTAGTCAAGTCTTTTAAACTTGCTGGTCAATACATATATTTGCATACACATTACTGTGAGCTGCTGTTCACAATGTTATTGTACCTAGCCAGGAAAACAAACCCCTGAAGTTCAAAGGAAACAAGCAAGTGGTTGTGGACATGTTCAGGAAGTAAGGGTGCAGCACTGTCTACAGCACAGCACACAAGTCAAGTTTCAAATAACATCCAAAGAGAGTGTGTTCCAAGTATTTTATTAAATTCAAAGTTGATGCCAGTTCAGACTTCTTCCAGGCAAGTTCAGGAACCTGAGAACAGAAAATACAATTTAGAACATTTGCAAAGCATTTCCCTTACTTCATTGTAGCAATCTTTAAGTTAAACCAACTTACAGTTAGGAAGGTCAATGATGTCTGTTCTACACTGGCACCAGTTGCTGCGGCCACCTGGGCTGGTACGGGAATGGCATTGGAATTTCTCTCAAACTACTTGGGTCAAGATTCAAGTGCGAGTTTGAGTCAGTGGGCTGCACATTAGAGCCAGAAGCAACACTTCCTTGGGAAGGAAAGTTCCACATGCCAGCTTTACTTTGGAGCACCCATTGCAGGGGTTTGGCCTGCTGAGGGTTTGAAGGGTATGCGGGCTGGTAGGGCTTGGCCTGCTGGGGATTCGAAGGGTAGGAAGGCCGGTAGGGCTTGGCCTGCTGAGGATTTGAAGGGTAGGAAGGCTGCTGGGGGTTTTGGGCCGGTACCTAGACTGCAGGGGATTTGAAGGGTCGGCAGGCCGGTAGGGCTTGGCCTGCTGAGGATTCGAAGGGTATGAAGGCCGGTAGGGCTTGGCCTGCTGAGGATTTGAAGGGTAGGCAGGATGCTGGGGTTTGGGTTGGTACCGAGACTGCAGGGGGACTTGAAGGGTTGGTAGCCCGCTGGGGGATTCAAAGGGTTTGCTGGCTGGTAGGGCTTGGCCTGCACATTAGAGTCAGAAGAAACACTTCCTTCGGAAGGAAAGTACCACATGCCAGCTTTACTTTGGAGCACCCCTTGCAGGGGTTCGGTCTGCTGAGGCTTGGCCTGTTGAGGATTTGAATGGTAAGAAGGCTGCTGGGGTTTTGGCTGGTACCTAGACAGCAGGGGACTTGAAGGGTTGGTAGCCCACTGGGGATTCAAAGGGTAGGCTGGCTGGTAGGGCTTGGCCTGCTGAGGATTTGAAGGGTATGAAGGCTGGTAGGGCTTGGCCTGCTGAGGATTTGAATGCTGGTAGGGCTTGGCCTGCTGAGGATTTGAAGGGTAGGAGGGCTGGTTGGGCTTGGTCTGCTGGGGTTTGGGCTGGTACCAAGACTGCAGGGGATTTGAAGGGTTGGCGGCCTGCTGAGGTTTGGGCTGGTGGGGCTTAGGGTGGTAGCCGGCCTGCTGGGGCTTTGGACGGTTTTTGGGCTTCTGGGGCTTGGAGTAGGGACCAGAGTGCATCACAATTGCAGAACTTGAAGCAATACCAGACTGAAAAGAGTTTGGATTATGGGCAAAGGGAAAGCCCACGGGGCAGCTTTGCTTGGAAGGACACCATTTGCACTAGGTAGTTGGTTTGGCTTACGAATTATTGGTTGGCTTGGCCCGTAACTAGAAACACTTCCCTCAGGACTGTAACCACCTACTTGCCTTCCATGAGAGCCACTATAACCTCCTGCACTTGGTGCAGCAGCTGGCTTCAGAGTCTCAGATAAAGCCCCATCAGCATGAAAGGGTGAATAACTACCCAAAACCCTCTCAGGCTGTGCTGAACTATCATCACTGGAAGTGGAAGCGGGTTTAAGGCTTCTTGAAAAATCAAAGTGAGGTGTAATGCCACTGGAGCCTCCACTTCTGTAGCTGAGTGCTAAAAGGAGAACACATTTTTTAAAAGACAGCCTTAGAGGAAAATTATACATTTCAATTGCAGCTTGTGAACCATAAATCCTTACCCTTTGCTTGCTGCCCAAAAATCAAGAGTGAGATCACAAGAACTCTAAGAAAAGAGGAATTAAACATGAGCCAACCAAAAACAGTTAAGTAGAATAAATATAAGAAATCTGCCAAAATAAGAATATCTTACCTCACACACAATCCAAAACCCATTTTTGTTGTAAAACTGAAACCAAACAGTCTGTAAGCGGTGTGCAGCAAATACAAAAATAATCTATTATTTCAGATTCATGACTGCTGCAAAGACAGTGGTCCTTTTAAAGTGTCGTTTCATGAGCTGACCAATCATCGCACTGATGAAGTCATTGGAATCAGCTTGGGAACTCCGCCCTCTGGCAACCTGGGCAGGTGTCCACACTTTAGCTAATTTGACACATTTCAACATTTCATTCTGTCAGCAGATCTGATTCAAAAGTCAGTTTAACCAAATGATAACCTTTACCTGGCCGCTAGGCAAAATTCCCCTGACAGGCGATAATAGTTTGATCGTAGTTTTGTTTTTGTTTATTGAGGTTTTGATTTAATTGTCCTCCTTCAATTCCACAGAGGTTTTAGTAAGACCCAGAAACTAAGACCTAAAAAGTGTAAGCTTTTGATCTTAAAACACTATGAAATGACAAGCTGTATTCAAATCAAACACATATATATATGTATACATATTAACATATGTTTAAGATTTAATTTATATATATGTTCCACTGCAAATAAGATATTGTTCTCTTCCACTGAAGTTGAGATCTTATGGGACCTTTTACCACTGTATGATTACTTAAAAACAAATGTTCTTGTGATTTGAAAATGATTTTGGAAGTGTTTTGGCTTATTGAAAACCACATATTTTATATCACTGCTTATAATTAGACTAAATTACTGTAAATGTTCTTTCCTCCAAGCAGCCATTGATTATAGGGCCCTATAAAAGTCACCTGCAGTGACTGAAAGCACTTTTTGGAGCACACTTATGGTTTCAGTAAAGAGAGACACAGCTGACAAAGACACAAACTATTTTATTAGCCATCATTCATGATACTGGTTTCACAAAAAATGTAATTCAAACAATGTTTCATTATTTTTTACATTACAAAGAAAGTAAACTATTTGTATGTCCCAACATTTACCATTATTTCAATTGCTAGATATTTTAATATAAATATTATAGCAATATATAACATATTATATATATGAGCATAACACATGTAGATACATCATTCTTAAAACACCAACTGAGAGCCACTAATTGAGGCGATACTGCTAAAATAGGGAGGTAGAAGTAATGATTTAGACTGGAGTAAAAGAGTATAGTAAAAGATACACATTTAAATTGAAAAATGAAATAATTTAGAACTGTACATAGAGAGAAGGAAGATGGAAAGAAGGATAGAGGAAAGAAAGAAAAATGTGTGAACGTTGTAGGGGTCTGTTAGCTGAGTTTGAGGCCGAGGCAGAGAGCCAGCTCGTTCTTCTGGATCTTTCCGTCTCCGTTGATGTCGCAGTGACCCATCAGAGCTTTCCTGAACTTGTCCAGGTCTGTGCCACTGATGCTGGGCTGGAGGAGAGGGTCGGGGGGTGGAAGAGTTACAGAGAGGTCAGAAGACTCCTGATGAATGACACTGACTGATATCTGATCAATAACATTGTGTATCAGCTCTGTATATAAGGGAATGTAAGGGCACCTTCACCAGCTCCATCATATCTTTGACAAATCCATCCACCTCAGGGCCCTCCAGCTCACCCGTCTTACTCTATAGAAGGAGGCATACTTTTTAATTCTCTCAGTGTTTGTTTTTGATTAACAGTTACACACATGCCTAACAGGACCTATACACATTAGGCCCGAAATAACATTGTTATTTATCTAAACGCATTGTTGGAAAGGTGTCTGATCAAAGGGGCTGCCATAGTTGCACCTGTGAGACTTGAACCACTGACCATCTGGTTCCAAGGTAAGCCACACTGCTACTGCATGCACGCACACTGTCATAATAGGCATATTAATTATTCAGTTATGGCCAAATATGTGTTTTTTGAGGTCATAGTGACCTTTGTCCATCAAATTCTAATCAGTTTATCCATAAATGGATAAACTGTCCAGGTGGACATATGTGCCAAATGTAAAGGAAATCCCACAAATTATGGACAGATGGACAACCTAAATTGCTAATGTTCTTTAGATGAGCTTCTCTGTGATTTTATTAAATAAAAAAAGAAATGTGATGGCTGAAAAACCAATTTGAAGGACGGCTCATAGGCTAACATTTTAAGGGGGCCCTAAAATGCTCATCTTCAGGTTCAATATTAGTATTTGTTCCCTCTACTGTCTCCATGCTTTAATGTTCAAAAAGCTCTTTATTTTTCTCATGCCTGTGCTGCAGCACCTCTTTTCACCCTCTGTCTGAAACCAGAGCCCAGTCTGCTCTGATTGGTTAGCTGGCCGGCTCTGTTGTTATTGCTCAACCACTAAGAGATGTCCCGCCCCTTAGTCTATCACGTACAATGTGTTGGAGCGCTAGCCAATAGTAGCACAAGTGTTACATAGTGATGTCAAAAAGCATGATAGGGCCCCTTTACACGTTTTGCTGTTCATACCACATATTCATAAAAGGTAGTAATCAAGCAAGTTTTTTTTATAGGATATTGATGTTTTCAATTTGTATAACTCCCCTGCTCTGTTTGGTCAGTCATTTAACACACATCTAAATTCAAACTTACAACATCATAGTGAGCGAAAATCTTCTCAAAGTCTCTCTTTCTGTCGTCCTGACTGCAAGCCTGAGACCAAACACAGTATGGAGAATAATTAAACAGTAAAAATTAGGAATTCAATATTTGCATGAAACATGAGTCTACTGTTAGCATGCAACTTCTAAAAGCATAGATCTCCTTCAGACATAAATAGGGAGATTGAGGTGAGTTGTAAGTGTTTTCTCTTGCAAAAAATTGTAATATTAAATGAAAAAACATCTAACTTGTTGAAACTTACGTCCATCTTAAACTTCAGTAAGAAATTCTCTTTCAGGGCCAATATTCTGAGACAACAAGAAACAATGATTTCTATTTAGAAACATATTTATAATTCTGTTTTTATCCCAAAAAAATAGTGTCCTCTTGGTCACATGACACAGGTCAACAGTACCTGGCCAGGTCATTTAAGTCCAGCCTGCCATCCCTGTTCCGATCGAACATCTTCATCTACAGGAGGAAACATTAAGAAGGAATCAGTCAGAGACAAACAGAGTTCAGCAGCATGGACATGTGAGCAGGTTACCATGGTGTCAGTGTACTCCTCCAGTTTCTCAGGGGTGATGGACTTCCTGTGTTGGAGGAAGAGGTCATGAAGGAAGCCCTGAAGGGACAAAAAGAGAACTAAAATGCAGAGAGATAATGGAGGCTTTGCCTCTAGCCTCACATCATTTAAAATAATGTCCATTGCCAACAGCCATAAGTCTAAAGTATGGAGATATGAAACTGAAAAAGAATAATAATAATAATAATAATAATTAAAACTGCGGTCACAGAAGTGGACGCAGTTGTGGGCGGGCCTTTGCGTCTATGCGCCTGTCGCCCCGGCGTCAAGCAGACGTGCGCGAGTCCTGGGAAATGAGCCGTTTCTCATTTCTCAAATGTTCACGTCCTTGAGTCCTCGGTTCTCCGGCAGCGACCCGGAAACGGATGTCGGCGCGCCGTCTCGAAGGAAAACAACTTTCTCGAAAGGCTCGTCGAGGATCGATTATCGCGGAGGCTGTCTGGAGGAGCCGTAACCGAGGATACACTGATTTAGAGGAGAGAGGAGTCTCTCTGGAGGAGCCGTAACCGAGGGTACACTGAAGTAGAGGAGAGAGGAGAGAGAGGAGAGAGAGGAGAGAGGGGAGAGAGGGGAGAGAGAGGAGAGAAGAGGCTCTCTCGATTTCAGGCCACAGAGACCGGGTGTAAATTAAATTAAACTTTATTCACAACAGGCTATAGTTGAGAGATAGTAGAATGTAAACAGGTATACGTCTAAGTATAATTAAAATACATTAAACTGTAAAGATAAGCACTAACAGTTAATAGTCACATATCAACAGTAGAAAATATAATATTTTCACTGAAAAGAGTAAAGACTAATGGAAAGAGGTGCAGTACATAATTAATAGCATCAAAATTAATCAGTGTACCAAAAACTAATATTGTCATCTCACTCCAAGCTGAACTCTAAAGTTGGCAGACCTGGACTATATGTACGTGTGGTCTATAACAGAGAAATACAAAATTACAAGTATAATGATAACCAGTTACTTGAATATATTATACAGCAAACAATAAGCATAACTTTCTCTTCAATGGAACATATTCTCCAAGGCTAATTAACTGTTCAACAGGCAGGTTGCAATAAAACGATTACAAATATAAACATGTAATATACTGCACAGATAGCTCCTTTAACTTACAATGTAACAGGTTAATATGTCCTCTAAACCAGGGGTTCCCAACCTTTTTCCCAGAGAGCCCCCCCAAATTACTCCTGTTGGAAGTTGCGCCCCCACACACACACAAGGGGGGGGGGGGGGTCAACAGACAAGGCAACAGCGGTAATTAAAGTTTAAAAGTCTCAAATGCAACAACTACTGTCACAAACTGGATGAATGTGAAGTATGTTGTTAAAAGAGGATGAAAGCGTAATTAAGGAGCACTATTGAAGTGACTTTGATGGTTATTGGACTCAGGATTAATTCATTTGGATTCCCGCTGTATGAAGAAATTAAAGGACGGCACAAGTGGAAACAATTCACAGAGGGATTAAACTGTTTAAAACACATGCTCAAAGTAAGCCGGATTTTGCCGATGTGTTTATGTGGATTCAAAAATCGTAAATAATCTACAAAATGGAGGAGACCGATCTGATCGGAGCAACTGTGACAAATAATCCAACTGTAACCGGCATGGACAATGACTGTTTTAAAAATGCGCTTATCCAGACAAGCCTGGTTTGGACACTTTACGCGCAGAAGAAACATTTCTATTATATTATATTATTATTGTATATTTATTATAGAAAAAAGTATGCATTTCTGTCTTTTTATGCCTTTATTAGCTACTAACTTAATCAATTATTTTGTATACGTCTATTGTAATGTATACAATCATGTATTGTGTAACAATATGTTAATTTTTTTTTTTTTAAAGTCTAAATATGATATTAGGCCTCAAATCATCTGAGGCCCCCCCCCCCCCAAGCACGCAGCTAATGTCAAGGAAGCACAGCGTTTTGATCATTTAAGATGATCAAATGTGGCATCAGAATTTCTGCCCTTGACCATTTGTTTACTCACTAAACGCATGTCCTCTTGATATTAGGCTATGTATGTTTTTAATACAACTGCTTGAATTCTGAGCCGACATTTACAGTGAGAACAGCTGCTGAGGCCAGTGCAGAAAGCAGAACAGTATGTATAATATCACTCAATAATATAAGTGACAGGTCTACATTCCACACTTTATTTGTATGCTTTAGTACAGAGGTATGGCAAGCCATTTGAGTATTTATTCAATTTCCTTGATATCAGACGGCAGTGGACTACACTAGTTGGCTCTTTGATTTCACTTGTTAGATATATGGTCAAACTAGTTAGGCACGCTGCTTTACTAGTTAAATAAAACATTTCACTAGTCGCTCTTTTTCAGCAACTAGTGGCACTTTTGTCCGACTAGTTAACACGTATGCCTTACTAGTGACGCCAGGAGCAGCACTAGTAGCGCCAAATTCCCAACGTGTAAGCTTTTTGATGAACTAGTGGCCCTCTGACCGTACTAGTGACCCTAAAAGTCTTACAAGTTAACTAGTGCGCTGCAAAAGCTCTGACATGTTAACTAGTCACACAAAAGAAGCACAACTAGTTAACATGTCAGAGATTTTGCAGCGCACTAGTTAACTAGTCGCACCCAGAATCACTCACTAGTTAACTAGTAAAGGCAAAATGTTCACTAGTTAACTAGTTGACGCCTCTTTTGACCTTACTAGTTAACTAGTGGGGCTCAAAATGTCTACACGTTAACTAGTGAACCCTTTGCCTTTTACTAGTTAACTAGTGAGAGAAGTTTAAATTCCACTAGTGAACTAGTGAGGCTTAAAATGTTCACTAGTAGCACTAGTGCAGGGGTGGCCAACCAGTCAGAGGTTAAGAGCCACATTTTGTCTATGTTACTGCAAAGAGCCACATCAAACACACAGTCACTGATACCGCTTGTTTCAGTTTTTTGTTTTCTGGAGACAAGATTTCAACCACGTCACTGATGCATTTTTGTGGCATTGGGATATATATTTTTTAAATCCTCTGGAGCAGAGAGAGGAGCTTATTGTTATTGATGAATGCATCAGTGTTTCTTAGGGTCAAAAACACTAAACTCACAACTTAAAATGAAAGTGTTTAGTTTATTTAATTAAAGAGCACATGTTCAATGTGAAACGTGACAGTAGATATAGATTATTTGCAATTTGGTGCTATATATATATATATATATAAAAAAATAATAATAATATATATTTTTTAAACACCTTGAATTTCAGGGGGGGGCGCGGGGCTCCGTTGGCGGGGCGCAGCGCCCCTCCAAGACAATGGTAGGGGAAACACTGGATAGTGTTTAATCAACGATAGGTTTCCCCCCCCTCAAAGGTGATTGGTTCACTGCATCGCAGGTATTATTGTGATTGGCTCTTGGGCCACATCAAAATTAGACGCGCTGTCATCCTCTCATACTGACACCACACACGTATAGGGAGAGCCGGGACGAAAGTAACACGGGACAAAAGTAACGGAGCGATTTTATCCGAGCCCAAACAACTTTGACCGGCCAAATTACGTCAGAATTATCAGCATTCAGTACTTAACAGACCTACTAACTATCAGGTTTAACTGTCAGGAGTAGCTAGTGTTGTCACGATACCAACATTTTGGTTTCGATACCAAGTCAAGAATTGCGATTCCGATTATTTTTTCGATACTTTTCTTAAAAAAAGGGAAACAGTCTTAAATGTAATTATTGTGCTTTATTTCACACCAGAACCATAACCATAACACAAACTTTTAAACAATGAGAACAATAAATAAAATAAATGACAAGAATTAATACATGTCTGACAGACAGGACTCGTGGTGTCCGTAGGCTTGCCCTCACTGTCAGAGATATAGCTAAAATACTTCCAAATTTCGCTTCTGGCGTCTTTTTTGTCAACAAGCTGAGGCGCAGCGGCAGTTGCACTCCCAATTGCAACCATGCTTCTCGCTTTCTCACATGCTCTGGCAGCTAGCGCGTGCACGAGAGAGGGGATGGATTTAGCATGTGCACGAGAGGGGAGGGACTGCAGGCACGGCTGCAGTGCAGGGAGTGGAAGCAGAGCGCTGAATACACACGGCTCTTATTAAAACGGCGCTTTCTCACCGGAGTACTTTTCCCCGTCATTCTTAAAGTACCGATACTAATGAAACGGAGGAATCGTAACGTTTTTAACGGCAGAGTATCGCGGTACCTTTCAAGTATCGGTACACCGTGCGGAGTCAGTGTCTCTCCCCCAAACTCACACACATACAATTCGATATGAACTGAAGAGCCGCATGAAACTAGGCAAAGAGCCGCATGCGGCTCGAGAGCCGCGGGTTGGCCACCCCTGCACTAGTGGATCCCAAATGTGCACTAGTCACACTAGTTGCACAGAATGCTAATGAGGAGGAGGGGAAAGAACGCATCGAGGTCTCCTATTGGCCCTAAGATATAGAGCGCCACCCAGCCCAAATAGTTTATTTAAGAGCTTAAATACACTGTTTTAAAATATGACCATATTTACAAAAATATAAAACAAAAGTATTTGTGTAATTATGATCATTATATATCAAATTAGGTAAGAACATTGAAGACTTTCTTAAAATTAGAAAGTTGCCTTATGACTGCAGACACGAATATAGATCCTCTTTAAAACATTTTATTAAGCTGCAATTTGAAAGGTGCTTGGATTAGAATGGCATTGTGATAAAAGAGTGACATTATTGATGGATTGAAAGAGGAAGTAACCCTCTTCGGATCACAGCTTTGAGAGATCGCCGTGACTTCCGTAAATATTAGTCTTGGCAAATATGGAGAGGTTGTTTATCTTCATACGGATCTATCGTTACCCTGATTTTAAGATCTGTCCAGTGTTTCTGCTTTATTAATGAGCACCGCTTATAAAATGTCCCACGATCATATACTTTTGTGTCTCGAGTGCCGGTGTTCTCACACACAAGCGTGCGCACATTCGCACCAACAAAAACACACACACAAAGCGGAATATAGCGAAGCAAGAAACATGTATATTTCTAGGTAAAACACACA